CAACAACAACAACAACAACAACTCGTACCGATTTATCGCGAACAATCGATGGGAGGGACGAGGCTGACACCCGCCTATACACCCGGCCGACATCAAATCATGGAGATCCAACCAGAGCTCCTTCGACAATCCTCTAACCAGCAATTGTCTAACCTCGTTGCAGATAATCCACGACCACTGAGCCACGGGACGAAATACGTGTATCCGGTTACCTCCAGCCCACAAATCCCGTACTCGAGGCAACCGTTCCTGCCTCACCATTACGCAATCAATTATCATCATCTTTATCACCCAGCTCCCCTCCCCCGTGATCATTATCAATACAACAACCAACCGGACCAGAGGACCCAACTGATGCTCGTCAAGAGACCGGTGTTGACACGTCGACCGATGTTGCAGACCGCCCACACGATGCCCCAGCCCACCCTCGCCCTACCGCCAAGATCGATCTTCATGGAACGAAAGAAGACCGTGTACAGACCCTCGTCCTCCTCCTCCTCCTCCTCCTCCACTTACACGGGAAGAAGAACGGCGGAGCGACCCTCGTCGGGTAACCAGGACAACCTGCAGATCGCGAAACTGAAGAAGATCGAACGGGCCAAGCTCGAAACTAAAACGTCCAATTTGGACGTCCCCGACATTTTCGTGACTCCTATAAAACCTGCGAGGAACACGGGATTCGATCCAGATTCTATAGTGATCGAGAGCGGGTTTAAACCTATCATCAGAAGCGTTGAGAGCGTGGCTCAAAAGAGAAGTTCCGAGAAACTGGAGCAAGAAGAAGAAAAAGAGGGAGAAAAAGAGGAAGAAGATGCTCGAGAAACTTCGAACCATAAACCGGTCGACAACTTCGAGCCGGTCTTTATACCTTCCCCGCCCGTTCCTACAGTGGCTGCAGTGGTCAAGAAATCGAGGAAAAAGTCCACGAATGGTAAACCACCACGTTCAACCACGGAAACGGATGACATGGAAACTGCCGCCGACAGGATGAACGTTTATTACTTGCCACCGATTTCCAATCCCTTTTCCAACAACGATCCGCCACCTTCTCCCTTTCCCTCGCCCTCCTCCTCCGGCGTATTGATAACCTTCGATGGAAAAATGTTGAAGGATTCCAGCCTGGTCAGATCCATTTCTGGCGTCGAGGAACAGTCCAAGGGCAAGCTGTCCTCGGACGTTCTCAGCAGAACGCCACAATTCGGAAGATTTAAAGGGGAGCTGCCACCTCCTATTCCGGGCGAGGTACGATCGTTCGACGATCATTCTCAGCTCGATAAGCGTCGCCTGTCCTCGTCGGATCTCTCGATGCCACGAATGACGAAGAAGAACACTAGATTGACACTGGTCGAAAGATCGAAGAGATCTCCGCACGATGGACACGTACACGATTTTGCACCAACGAATTCGAGCTCTGAAACGAATCGACATCATAAAAATTCAATATCACAGCCTCTCGTCAACACCGGTCAAACGATCGTATTTAACTTGTTATATTTAGTTTTGGCCATAATCGTTTGTCACGTCATTTGATAAAGTTGTTTTCACGACCGCGCAAACATTATATCCGATATCGTTTGAACTTTGGTTGGAAATAGTATAAATGCTAAGTTGGACTTGTAAATTACCTGGTATGATTAGTTGATTGAATCATGGTTAAACGCGTTACCGTTTACCGCATTCTTTACCGATCCAACAAGGAAACAACTTCTATGATGAATGCGCGTAACGTACACGACTTCGAAGATAGTAGACGATGTAATCGACACGATAACACGGGAAAGGAATATAACTAACCTGAAATAATTTCACTCTCTCTCTCTCTCTCTCTATCTCTTTTTTTTAATTTTATTTATTCAGCTATTTATTAACGAATTATTGTCCTTTATCGTGCAAGAAAAATGTCTAACCTTTATTTGCAGTACCAAACTATTTCTGTCGAATAAAATCGATGGCTAATATGTATAGTTCACCGGATCTCCAATATACCTAGAACGTAATATCTTGATTATTCAAAGGGACAAACTGTTAACGCTTTCCACTTTCGAGGTGCGACAGGAATAATAAATAGATCTCGTTATTCTAACGTGCTGTTGATATCAGTTTGTTGAATTTTTAAGGTATTATATATAATTGTACATAAGTTAAATTAAATTGTTAATAAAGATCGTATAATGGATCAAATATCTCTCCCAAAAGATATTATTATTATTTTCGACTTGGACAAAAGACCTCGTTTAACAATTGCAAACTCTATTCCTATCGAAATATCAATCTTCACGCTTGTAAGGATTGCTCGTTAACCACGGACAAACTCGATTGAGACAGGCGGCAGACATTAAGCAATATTTTATTGTATAGAAAAAAGAAAACAAACAAATCTTACAAAACAATCAGCACACTAACTACTGTACACGACCGTATAGGTATAATATAAAGAGCGTACAGGCGACTATCAGTCGGTTGCTAATTACATCGGAAACAATTGTCGGCTGGAACGCGGTAAGCAAAGATACAGTTTCTTTTTTCTCCTTCTTCTTCTTCTTTTTCTTCCTCTTTCTCCTCCTCCTCCTCCTCCTCCTCTTTTTCTTTGCGAACATTCGCATCTTTTCTCCGGTGAAATAGGAAATTGCTAAACGAATTTGCATTTTCACTCGCAATCGACGTATCATTAAAAATACCCTTTTAAGTAACCATTGATGGCACGCGACGCAATTGCCCCATATACTTACAAATTCACGGGCAAAATTCGCGTCGAAAAATTGTATTCTAATTATACTTTAATAATTGCACAATCAGTGTGAAATCAAGGACTGAATTATTGAAATTTGACTCATTCGCTTCGTTTTTAATTTCAAATTAAAAATTTTTGCTATATAGTTACCAATATTGCCACGAGTACGATCAACGGAAATAATCGTTTCTTTAGAATTGACTTTTTTTTTCCTTTTTTCTTTCTTTTTTTTTTTTTTTTTTTATTCGAGAATGCACAGACTGCTTCTTCCAAGCATAACTTGACTCACTCTTGTCTTAAAAAGTAATGCGGCGCATACGAGCCTGAACATTATCAGTTATTACATTTATATTATCATTACATATCTAAGTTGACAATGTATTTACATATGTTACACGATTTCTTTCCTACTTAACGATAGTAACGAGTGTAAAACGGAACTTTTTGAGTACGATAAAAGCGATACCCATTCTAGCAATTCTACGATTCTTCCGAGTATACGCTTGAACCTGGTGATCGAAGAAACTTGACTCAATTAAATACGAGTATCGATCGTATGTTCGTGCCTGGATTGAGTCTATGAGCAATGTCGTTTCTTATTACTCGAGTTGGAAATTGATATAATACTTTTCTATTTTAGGATTAAAGTCACGTGAATGGCGTGCTTTTCGCTTCGATAATAGAGGGCGAGAACGCCTCGTTTCTCTGCGATCCATAACACGAGTTTTAATACACTTGAACAATCGGCTCATGATTACTTAAAATTTCGAGTACTTATTACTAGTCACGCGATACGCAGCTACGAAATTTAATACTAACAATAACGCCAATGATACGTATCTCAGCGAAGTTGATTTTCTTGCATAATTTCGTTCTATGGTATATTACCTTTTTCTTTTGTTCCTTTGTTCTTAGCTGATGAATTATTGCAAATGGTACAGAGAAGTATAGAGATCTTGAGAATTTCATAGAATCTATTATTTGTGAAACAAAGCAGTACAGATACGAAATGTGTAATCAGTCCAAATAAAAATGTCATGATCCCAATTTATTAAATGACAACGCCATTATTCTATACGTATGAGTGTACGTATGTGCTACATTTCAGTTGACGGAATGTTTTCTGTACTCTTGCTTCTACACTCTCTATGGCGATAGAAACGTACTCTGCCGTAAAATTATTGAAATGTTTTGCATTGGAAAAAATATCTCTATCGTAGTAAAAATACTATATTCTCCATAATCAGTTTTCTAAATATACAAGATGAAATAATTCATTCTACATTGAACGATACTTAAAATAGCGTCATGATTGTTTCCGTTTTAAATCACTAATGAAAGATAATTACATATAAAATAACTCACGCTTTAACACGCAAATCGTGTTCCGAATAAAAAATCGAGACGTGATATACATGATATTCGACATAGATAACTAGCTTAATACAAAACATCGGATTCGTAACGAATCATATCTATAAAACAAGACAAGCTAAAAAATAATATTTATCAAAAGATATATATATATATACTTAAGAAAAAAAAAGTTTTAAGTGTGATCTATCGATTTTGTT